GCCCCACGTTGAAGGGGCCGTGGTGGTGGAGCCCGAGAGGAACCCCGGAGCAGCGCAGGAAGGCTGGAGAGGAGCGACCGGTGGGGTGCGAAGGGAGGAAACGCCAAGGGTCTGACCTCACCGGCAGCCTCTGGGGCTGAACTTGGCGTAGGCACAGCATGACCGGGCTCCGTGGGTGTTTATTGCTTTGCTGCCCAATTGCTGCTTAGGTCATCGGGACAAAGCCTTTACTCCCCACAGCCTGTTTACTGTCCTTGTTCTTATTGTCCCTTTTCTGATGGCAAAAGGGCTGTGGCACACCCACCTCTTCTTTTCTTCTTCTTTACACTTAAACCAGACCTGTTGACTGTGATTCTGGGCAGAGACCCACATCTCTGCGCTGAGCAGTTGGGTGCTGCTGTCTGGTGTCAGAAGAGACTCTAATGCCTTGATTGTTCCTCCTAGAGGGAAGCAACCTGGCCAGCGTGCGACACATCTTGCTGGTGCTCTCTGGGAAGGGCGGCGTGGGGAAGAGCACCATCTCCACCGAGTTGGCTCTGTCACTGCGGCACTCTGGGAAGAAGGTGAGCGAGAGTCTGTGTGATGCTGAGCTCCATCTTCTGTTTCCTGACCTTCAGCTGGGCTGGGTTTTGCTCATCCTATATCTGCGTGTGTGCAGTGAGAGCAGCCTGTAGATTCCCTCTGTGGAAATACTCTTTGTGATAGCAGTTCAAGTGATTCGTCAGTTCATTTCCCCTTTGTCCAAGAGCCTGAAATCACCTAAGATTTGATGATGCTTTTGAAACAGAGGCACTGAGAAATTTCTTTGCTGGTTTGTAATGTAGCAGATTCCCTCTGTGGAGTGAAGTGGGTGAACTGAACAACAGCATTATGATGGGGACAAAAGGGAGCTGTTTTTGCGTGAGACCAACTGAATTCGGTGAAGAGTTTTATTTTTTAAAGTCCGTGCAGCCAGTGCCGCTTGGATGCTGACACGTGTCTGTCATAAAGATCTCTGCAAAATGTCTGGAAATGCCCAGAAGGTGCTCCTTCAGGGGAAGGAGACTAGGAGGGCAGGCAAACTTTAAAGCAGCTCCTTGAAATTGCGTTTCAAATCTGGCTGCTGAGCCACAAAGTCTGTCCTGTCGAGTGCTGTAAGCAGCTGAAATTCAAACACGACCTCCCCCCACCAGGGGAAGGAGCGTGACTGGGTGCTGCCGCTGCCCAAAGGGCTCTGCCTCCTCGCCTGCAGGTGGGGATCCTGGACGTGGACCTGTGTGGCCCCAGCATACCCCGCATGTTCAAGGTGCAGGACAGCGACGTGCACCAGTGCGACAGTGGCTGGGTCCCCGTCTTTGTGGACCAAGACAAGAGCATCTCGCTCATGTCCATCGGCTTCCTGCTAGAGAAGCCAGATGATGCCGTGGTGTGGAGAGGACCCAAGAAAAACGGTACAGTTGAATTTTACTGTCAGTGGCCCCCTTTGAGTGCTCGGAACCCTCCTTGAATCCTCCTGGAGGTGATGGTGCTGGCATGCATTGTACTGACAGCCAGCCCTGCCGTCTCTCCTTGGGCACTCCTGAGCCCTGCCCAGCCTGACCCAGGGCACCTACTGAAACCTGTTATGTTTTGGGTTTGTGTTTGGGTTTTTTTTTTTTGTCTTACTCCTTTTATTTCCATAGCTTTGATCAAACAGTTTGTCACTGACGTGGCCTGGGGAGACCTGGACTTCCTCATCGTGGACACGCCACCGGGCACGTCAGATGAGCACATCTCTACGGTGGAGGCTTTGCGGCCCTACAAGCCACTCGGAGCAATCCTGGTCACAACACCCCAGGTAGAGCACCTGGCTCGGCTAAACTGGAGTTTCTGGGTGGGCTTTGGCCTCCCAGCATGATTTGTGGAGGAATATTGCACCCCACTTGGGTGTTTGCACAGGCCTATCTGTGGCTGCTGGTTCTACATATCTGCCTTCCATCTCATGCATGCGTCCTCCAGACCCATGGTTAATCTGGACAGACAGAGACCCCTAACCTCTGCTGCTCTCCCCTGCAGGCTGTGTCTGTCGGAGATGTGAGGCGAGAGCTGACGTTCTGCAAGAAGACAGGCTTACGAGTTCTTGGCATTGTGGAGAACATGAGTGGTTTCGTTTGCCCGCACTGCTTGGCAAGTTTATTGTGACCTCTGGACTACTGCGGCTTCTCGGGTGTTGTGGGATGTGGTACCTCAGGTGGAAAAACAGCAAATGCCCTGGAGGCGATGCTGTGAGCTGGGGGAGATGACAAGCTGCTGGCTCTTGTGTGTTGGCTTTGGAAGAAGCCTCTGGCTCTGCTTTCCTAAGGAGAGCTGGGGGAGGGCAGCAACCAGGGCAGTGCCCTGAGGCTGGACAGTGGAGGGGAGCTGGGTCTACTCACATGCAGCACAGAGCTCCGGAGTTTTATGACTTGCTACTTTTGCTCCTCCTCCTTCAGGAGTGCACAAATGTGTTTTCCAAAGGAGGAGGTGAGGAACTGGCCAAGCACGCTGGAGTTCCCTTCCTAGGTGAGTGGCCTCTCGAGCAGAGCTCTCTGTGATTAGAGGTGATGTCCGTGTGGTGCTTGAGCGAGGAGATGCAGCGTTGTAGGGGCAGGCAGGGTGGACTCCAGTTCCTGGCACCCAGTCAGAGGTGAGGTGTCGCTCTTGCTTTGCTCTTGTGCCATACAGACTGCTCAGAGTGGGCATCTGGCCCCACCCAGGCAGAGGAGGTGAAGATCAGCAACCTGCTCTGGCTACTGGCATAGAGTAAGCAAGTGTGGAGCTACATAAGAGCCACCCTGAAATGCCCTAGAGGAATGGGGCCTGAGGGCTGAACCCTGCCCTCCAGACAGGGCTGGAGTCAGGGAAGAGAGCATCTCTCAGGAAGCACTGTGTTGTAGTGGGGTCTTGGACTCAGAGGAAGCAGTTCCACATGAGAAGTAGCTTCCAGAGAGAGCTCAGTGAAAGCAGTGGTTCCTCTTTCCTACTGCTTCTCCTGGAGATGACATATTTGTTTAATTCTACCTCCAGGCCTTTGCCTTACAATGAGCAGTGACTCTCTCCATTCCTCTACTCCCCCAGGCTGTGTTCCCCTGGATCCTCAACTCAGCCAGAGCTTGGAAGAAGGCAGAGACTTCATCCAAGAGTTTCCCAAAAGTGCTGCCTTCCCTGCCTTGGCTCACATTGCCCAGCAGATCTTGGACAGCACGTCACAGCGGAGCTCTTAAGGAGGCTGTGAAGCTGGACTCTTGCTGGCTGAGCCTCTGGCCTGGCAGCACCGGTGGGGAAGCTGTTCGAACTAGAAAACTGTCTCAGCACAGGGTGATGGAGGGAATGGGGGGCAAAAAGGGAAAGCGCTGCTTCATCTCCCCTCTCCGGATCACCATCGACTGTTCTTCCCCCAGAGGGCTCCAATCATCAGGATCAGGGCTCCATGTGCTGCTGCCTTCTCCAACGGCTTTCCATGTGTAATGGATTACACAGTACTTGGTTCAGCATCTGATGAATTTGTGTTGGGTGTGCTGACGTGGAGCCAAGCCAGGCTGCCGTGCTCTGAAATCTTGGAGCCCTCATTCCTGGCAGGGCTGGTGAGGGCATGGTGGGCGCTTCACATGAGCAAAATGTCTTTGAGAGATCTACCGCCTGTCCGAGGTGTGAATGCTGCCGTGACGGAAACGAGGCCTTTTTTTGTCTACTAGGGAGTTATCGTGACTCAGGAATATTTTGAAAGGTTCCAGACAGTAAACACTTTTCTTAAAATCCAAGTCTGACATATTTTGCTATGCTTTCAAGCCTCATTGTAGCTGTGAGTCTCTATTACGAGCACTTTTTCCTCCTGTTTTCTTGCAGGGAATCAATCTTTCCTCCTTCCATACCACTCAAGATCCAGCTAGTCCCTTGTCTTGCTGAAAGCTGGCTCTAGCACATGAGGGGCTCCTCCATGTTCC